GTACGTGGACCGATAACTCCTGTCCCTGCACAAGACAGGGCGGGTGACCCCCAAGGACACAGACCTGCTCCTCCAGACCATTTGATAGCCCTAGCCGGTTGGACTACCAAAGCCACTTGTCACCAGAGCCAGGACAAGCAACAGAAAAGAAACGCACAGCTGCTTCCAGCCCTGAAGAGCTGCAGCCAGGTGGGCAGGTGCCCCCTGAGGGGGCCATCTCCTGTCCTGCCCTCCCCCCAGCCGCTGTTTCCCAGTCTGGCAGGGAGGGAGGGGCCGGGCCAGCCCAGGGCAGGGAAGCCGGTGGGCTTTGCCTTCCAGGGGCCCTGGGTACCGGAGCGTGCCAACACACCCCACCGTGCAGGGCACACGGAGCGCTCTACCAGAGCGTGCCAACACACCCCACCGTGCAGGGCACACAGAGCGCTCCCCTCTGCCTCCAAAGGGACCAGGGTACGCGCAGCCCCAGCCCCATAAGGGCAGCCATGAGCGAGGGGGGCAGGCCAAGGGTGGGGCCGCTGGACAGAATGTCTGGCGCCTGCTCAGCCCAGGCTGGCCCTAGGCTCCCCTAGGCTCCCTCCTCAGGCACAGCCAGCCTTCCTTCCTGAGCCGGGCTGTTTCCTGACCCCGCCCTGCCGTTGCCATGGGAATTCGGAGCAGCCCAGGCCCCCCAGCCTGGTTCCCATGGCGCTCCTGCCCGGCCGCACTTGGGGAGGCCCACACAGCTCGCAGCAACACCCAAGGACACACAGAGCCCTGCAACCTCCCCCAGAGCAGAGCACCCCTGAAAGGCTGCACAACATCCTCCCAGGGCTCACACTGCATGCTTTGACACCCCCACACTCATCCAGTGCCCCAACAGTCTGCGATCACTCCCTGGGCCCACGCCCACCACAGCATAACACCCCCAGAATTCAGGAGCAGCTTCTACAGTGCCTGGACCACAACCCACACCTTTAGACACCCCCCACCAGCCTGACACCCCACCAGCACACGAACACTCTGGTGCCCATGTGACACCAGTTCTGCATGCAACTGCGGGATCCACAGGACGGCTGTGAATCATACATGTGAACCCTGACCCCACCCCCAACACTGGAGAGCCACCACCCAGGCCGGCGTGAGCTTGAACCCTCACCCCTCTCTCGCCTGCACATGCCCAGGAATCAGGGGCACCTACTGCCCACCCACTGCCCTTTCCCGAGCTGAGGCCAGCAGCACCCCAGAATCCCAGAGGCTCTGTGCGCAGCAGGATGGACAGTCGGAGGGCACCAGGCCAGGAGAACCTCTGTCCCCAGGCAAAGACCCCAGTATCCACCTGAACCAGACCAGTCCTTGGCCAAGAGACACACAAATAAATGCACAAGTGGGGCCTCACCTGGCTATGAGGCATCAGGTTACCCCCCCCAGAGACCCTGACCCCAGGAGAGAGGTTGAGGCTGACCCCGGCCTCCAGTGCCCTCACCCTGGCCCTTAGAGGCCTGCGGCCTCTGCCATGTCAGGCCAGGCCAGGAGCTGCAGCGCAAGGACCAGGTGCTGTGAGGACAGGCAGGAAGCAGGATCTGAACTGGATAGCCAGCTCCAAAACTGAGGTGTCAGAAGACCAGAAAATCCCCCTCCACCTGAAACTGCATCCGACAGGGACCCCCGCCTCCACGCTTGGGGAGTGGGAGAGTTCAAGCCCTGCAGGATTCAGTAATTGGTCCCAGCCTCGGCGCTCCTGCAGCCGCAGGGGCTGGGCTGGTGGGAGCCTGGGAGGTCTGTGCCCAGGCAGTGCCTGGGAGGTCCCACCACCCCCCGGCCCCGGAGCTGTGCCAAGCCAAGACCCCACCCAGAGCCACTGAGGGGGACTCCCCGGCATCCTTTGCGAGCCTCACCCGGAGGCCAGGGTGTCCAGGCTGAGGGAGGGAGCAGGTGGCAGGCCAGGAGGACAGTGTCCACTCCATGCCCAGACCAGCCCCACCCTTGCAGAGAAAGCTGGCCCCCTACCCTTTCTGTGTGGGGGTTGTGGGCTACCACACAGGCCCCTTCTCAAGGGGGGGCCAGGCCAGACTGAGGGGAGGCTCCAGAGACACAGGGGTGCCCCTAAACTCATGAACTGCTCCCCCTTTGAACAGGGCTGGGGCTGCAGCTCAATGGCCAGAGAAGCCTTGGTGACCCCTCCCTTCCTGGGCACAGAGGGCCACACTTCACTGTGTGGGACCCCTGGATCTCCACTTCCTCGGGGAGGCCAGCTTGTCTGGCTCCCAAGGCCCTAGGTAGCCTCCGGCTCTCGGGGCCACCTTGCCCCACACCCAGGCTGACAGACAGGCCACACAGACCACACACAGACCCACGGACCACAGCAATGGGTGCCCCGCCCTCAGCAGAGCCGGCCACACCCACACCAGCCTGTGCAGCCTTAGCAAGTCCCCAGCCTGTGGCTCCTGGGTCAGGGCCACCTGACTGCAGTCCCCACCCCCGCTGCCGTCCTCACACATGCTGGGCAGTGTACAGGTGGGGGGTTGCCTGACCCTGCAGAGGGCAGGCAGCACCCCAGGGGGCTCCCAGGACTTGCCGGCCAGACCCTGAGTCCACAGTGCAGCCCAGAGCAAGGGCCACTGGCCAGCGCCAGACAAGGCAGCTGTGGGGGCATGGGGGGCAGCGGGACAAGGGGCAGTGAGGTAATGCCAGACGCTGCCCACCACTAAGCTCTGGGCTGCCTGGATCCCTCGGGGTGCCCAGGGCCTGCAGAGGACCAGACAGAGCCCAGGGAACTGCAGATCCTTCCCAGTGTGCAGAGGCCTCTTTCCCCAGCCCTGGTGACCATCACCCTAGACCAGCTACCTCTTAGGCTGAGCCCAGCCCTGGGGACCCCAGACTGCACCCCTAAAGCTGCATGCGGACAGAGGTGGCCTCTGCCAAGTGCTGGCTGAGGGGAAGTCGGGGCAGCCCTGGATCTTTGGACCCATCCCCCAACCTGGAGTCTTCCTCACACAGCCCCGATGAGGCACACCCCCCTGCCGGCCGCAACACTGACACCTGCTCAAACGGGAGCTGGTAACACGTGGAAGAGGCTGTGAGCCCACCCATCCCAGCAGCCACTGCCCTTGAGAAAAGCCAGAGACCCACCACCCGGTGCCCCAACTGCCCCCCGGCTTGCTGGCCCTGGCTCAGTGTCCTCGACCGAGGTGCTAGGGCCTGTGGGTCAAACCCGAAGAGCGGGAGTTCTGGAGTCCAGCTGGGAAACGCAGCCCTTTACCACTTCGATGACGATGGCCACTGCCAAGACCTACATGACAGAATGTGACGTGGGGACACGGGGCAGGGCTGGACACCCAAGAGCAAGAGCCCCGGGTCAGGTGCCCTGTGGGGGTGCTGTGGACCCATGACCCGCCCCATTCCTAAGCACAGACTGTGCCGGCTAAGGGCAACCTGGGCAGAATCGGGAGCCTGTGGCCACACAGGCCCAGGGGCACCGAAACCTGTGGCCTCACTACGTGGGTCTCCCACACTTGGGGTTGAGGCACCTGGCACACAGGGGGCTGCAGAGCTTCCCAGCTGTGAGTAGCCATGCAGAGTGGGTGGACATTCTGAGACCTACCCCCCACAATGGAGCCTTGCTTGGCAGGGGCAGGGAGGACCTCCCTGGGAGAGACCCACCAGCTTCTGGGCCCAGACCCCCTCCCAATGGGGTGGGAGGGGACAGTGAAAATTAAAAAGACTGAGTCAGAGGCCAGGCGCGGTGGCTCACGCCTGTAATCCTACCACTCTGGGAGGCCGAGGCAGGCGGATTGCTCAAGATCAGGAGTTCGAAACCAGCCTGAGCAAGAGCGAGACCCATCTCTACTATAAATAGAAAGAAATTAGTTGGCCAACTAATATATATAGAAAAAATGAGCCGGGCATGGTGGTGCATGCCTGTAGTCCCAGCTACTCGGGAGGCTGAGGCAGGAGGATGGCTTGAGCCCAGGAGTTTGAGGTTGCTGTGAGCCAGGCTGATGCCACGGCACTCACTCTAGTCTAGGCAACAAAGCGAGACTCTGTCTCAAAAAACAAAAAAAGACTGAGTCGGAGCACAACGGTGCACACCTGTAGTCCCAGCTACTGGAGAGGCTGAGGCAGGAGGACGGCTTGAGCCCAGGAGTCCAAGTCCAATCCAGGCAACATATCCAGACCCGTCTCTCTCTAAAACAAAATGAATAATAGAGGTCCTTTGGAAGAACTCTCCCAGGTGAGATGGCCATGGGAGGGGATGCCAGGAAGGAAGGACGCGTGTCCCCCTCCTCTGTCCAGCTGTGCTTTCTCCTGCTGCAGCAGCGGCCTGGGCAGGGCAGGGGCTTCCACCCCCACGGGCCCTGAGGGACGAGCCTCCGTTCTCCCTTCTCTTCAAAGGTCTCTGTCCAGAGCGTTGCCCTCTCCTTCCTGTCGGCAGTGGAGCAGGAAACGCCAGCCACCTTTCCTAAGGCAGCCACTTGGCAGCTTGGGGGAGGCGAGCAAAGTCCCGGGTGCTGAAAGCCCACGTGCGCGTGGGCGCTGGAGCGTCAGCGCCCTTCGCAGGATGGCGCACACTGCCCGCGCAGGGCGTTTCCCAAGACGCCAGACTCGCAGCGGCGGCACTTACCCGCTGTCGGGAAGGCAGCCTCCCAAGCCCGTGGTGTTAAAATAAGGCCCTCTCCTCCCAATGCAATCTCATGGGGGGGCAGCCGAGTAGGGCGCTGCCACCCTCCCCAATTACCGCCCCGGGTCTGACTCCGTGGGTGGGCGGCAGCTGAGCTCGGAAAGCCCTGACAGCCCCAGCCCACATCGGCAGCCCTTTCCACTCGGGGTCTCTCCTTCAGAGAGGGTCGGGGACTCCAAGCGGGGAGAGGCCTTGGAGGAATCTGGTCGGGCCTGAGAAGAAAGGAGCCCCAGGGAGGGCGGCCCGCCCGCCCGCCCGCCCACCGCCGATTGCCGCGCCGCTATATGGCGCCCCCCGGAGGCACGCCGTCCACCCACCGCCTGCGCTCTCTCAGCGCGTGCCCGCCGCCGCCCCGCGCTCCCGCGCTCGGTTCCGCCCAGGTCGCGCCCAGCTGGAATGCAGAGATCGCCGCCCGGCTACGGCGCACAGGACGACCCGCCCGCCCGCCACGACTGTGCAATGGCCCGGATCCGGGCGCCGCTGAGCGCGCGGCCTCCCGCGCCCCCGCCGCCCTCGCCGCCGCCGCCGCGCCCGCCTCGCCGCCCAGCCGCATGCGAAAGCCCGCAGCGCAGCCCCGAGCCGGGGCGCTATGGCCTCAGCTCAGCGAGCCGCGGGGAACGCCAGACGGCCGACGAGTCGCGCATCCGGCGGCCCATGAACGCCTTCATGGTGTGGGCAAAGGACGAGCGCAAGCGGCTGGCTCAGCAGAACCCGGACCTGCACAACGCGGTGCTCAGCAAGATGCTGGGTGAGCGGCGGGGAGGCGCGGGCGGGGCTGGGGAGCGGGGCAGGGGGCCGCGCGGGGGTGGTCGGGCGGTCCCGGGGCCGGGCCGGGCGCGGGGGTGCTGTGCCTTACCCCCGCATAGCGCTCGAGGCGCACGCAGGGCTCAGCTGGCCGCCTGCTCGCCCGACGGCAGCCTGCTGACCCGCGCCCGCTGCCCGCAGGCAAAGCGTGGAAGGAGCTCAACACGGCGGAGAAGCGGCCCTTCGTGGAGGAGGCCGAACGGCTGCGCGTGCAGCACTTGCGCGACCACCCCAACTACAAGTACCGGCCGCGCCGCAAGAAGCAGGCGCGCAAGGCCCGGCGGCTGGAGCCCGGCCTCCTGCTCCCAGGCCTAGCGCCCCCGCAGCCGCCGCCCGAGCACTTCCCCGCCGCGCCCGGCCCGGCTCGCGCCTTCCGTGAGCTGCCCCCGCTGGGTGCCGAGTTCGACGGCCTAGGGCTGCCCACGCCCGAGCGCTCGCCTCTGGACGGCCTGGAGCCCAGCGAAGCTGCCTTCTTCCCACCGCCCGCGGCGCCCGAGGACTGCGCGCTGCGCGCCTTCCGCGCGCCCTACGCGCCCGCTGAGTTGCCCCGCGACCCCGGCGGCTGCTACGGGGCTCCCCTGGCCGAGGCACTCAGGACCGCGCCCCCTGCCGCGCCGCTCTCAGGCTTGTACTACGGCGCCCTGGGCGCGCCAGGCCCGTACCCCGGCCCGCTGTCGCCGCCGCCCGAGGCCCCGCCGCTGGAGGGCGCCGAGCCGCTGGGGCCCGCCGCCGACCTGTGGGCCGACGTGGACCTCACCGAGTTCGACCAGTACCTCAACTGCAACCGGACTCGGCCCGACGCCGCGGGGCTCCCGTACCACGTGGCGCTGGCCAAACTGGGCCCGCGCGCCATGACCTGCCCGGAGGAGAGCAGCCTGATCTCGGCGCTGTCCGACGCCAGCAGCGCCGTCTACTACAGCGCGTGCATCTCCGGCTAGGCCCCGCCCGTCCTCGCCGCCTCCTCCCGCCGCTGCGAATCTCTGCTCTGCTCTGTCGCAGGTGTATGTTTTGGCGACGTGTAACAGCCCCTTAGGAGCCAGTGACCCTACCAGCCTTGCCCCCACCGCCCTGCCACCTCCACAGGCTTCCAGGCCACCTGCCCTCAGGGGGCTCCAGGAGGGTGACGGGTGGTTCCCTCATGCCCCGGGCTTTCCCAGGAAGCCCAGGCCTAGGACCTGTTGGCTGGCCCCGCCAGGGTTAAGTTTTTGAAGCGCCTAATCCTTTTTCTTCAGTATATTTTCTAGAACCAGATTGTATTTTTTACTTTGCCTTTTTTTTATATACGTAATACAATATATTTAATTTTTAATTAAACTTTTAAACTTTTTCTTCTGAGGGGTTTCAGTGATCCAGAGCATCACTGTAGCAAAGGCTTTTAAATAGGAGAAATGATGACGTTTGTTTGCTCTAAGGGTGGGTCCCCTGGGGCAGCAGTGGCCACAGAGCGGCCATGGCCACAACGGAGCCCAGGCCTTTCCGCCCCAGCTGCCTGTGTGCTGGCTGGCAGGAGGGAGAGTGGTTCCCCCAACAAGCCTGGACACGCCCTTCCCTCCCACTCTCCCACAGCCCGACCCCCAGCTTAAACCCGTGGCACTCATCCCACCTCCCGAGATGCAGGCCCGGACCGTGGGTGGGAGGCGTGGGGTCCACACCACCCCAAGCTCGGCCCCGGTCCCCCTCCTGTGCAGCCCCCATGTTAATCCAAGACTGGGGCAAAGACAGTCCACACATCCCCACCAGGGACCCTCGTCCTCACTTCCTCCTCCTCCAAACTTCCTCCACACCCAGGGTCCACCCAGAGCCCCCCCTCAGTGCCACCCCCACGCTGCTCCCGGAGGTGAGTTGTTCAGCCTGGTCCAGACACAGGGTCCATGACCAGGGCAGGAGGGCCCAGGCCTCACATCTCAAGACCTCAATTCTGAGGACCCATCACAGTAGCTCTGTGCCCCCTCCAAGAGAGCTGAACACCTCTTTCCACACCGGCCCCTCGGTCCTCCCTACCCTCTGCCGAGCAGTCCCCTCACCGCATGATCATGTGTGTTCGGAATAATCACCCCAGAAGTGAACCCCTGCACACTCACGCTCCAGGGCCAAGCAGGTCTTCCACCCCGAGAGGAGGGGTTATGTGTCTCCCTCTTGCAGGAAGGAGCATGTCCTGCCCGCCACTCCCCCAGCACATGCCCTGAGGGTGGCGCAACCCTGATGGGGAAAAGCCACTCGCCACTCAGTCTCCCCCCTGAGAACATGGTGTCTCTGGTTCTGCATGCGTGTGAGTGGTACTCCCAGGGTGGCCACCCACATGGGTGACTGCATGTGTGGCACATGGACATGCAGCAAGCCTGGGGCTGGATATGCATGTGCCAGTGTGTCCATACATGTGGGTCCACTGCCTGGCGGCACGGAGACCTCTATGAACCAACATGAGCCCCACACCTCAAGTGGTGGAGCAAGGGGGCTGCACTGGGTCCCCTTCCCTGTGCCATCATCAGCAGCAGAACACAGAGAACTCAAAGGGACAGAGACACACAAAAGGGGGCAGGAACAGATAAGCTGAGCAGGGCAGGAGATGTACTCGGAGGTGCCGAGAGAAGCACCAGAATGTGGAGGGGCAGAGGGGGCAGAGGAGCAGCCCACAGGATGCTGAGGATAGCAGCTACTCCTCCAAAGCGCACAGTAGGGAGGCAGGGAAGCGGAGACTGAAAGGGACACAAAAGGGTGGTCCTGGACAGCCACATTTGGAAGGTGGGGCTCCGAGGCACCAATGCTGACTCTTCCTGGGCTCATGCAATGGGAGAAGTGCACACCGCCCACACGTGTGCAAGCCACACCCAGCTCTCATGGCACCAACTCCTGCTCTGGGCCACCCCCTAGAGCCCGGGGGTCAGCAGGCCCAAGGGACATCCCCTTCCGTGGGAATAGGTGGCCAAGCAACCAAAGTCTGCAAGTGGCAGCTTCAGGTGTGGGACCACCCGCCCCCTCCCAACCAGGGCAGGAGACAGAAGATGGGCACAGTCTGTCCTGCTGCCTAAATTCATGTGAACAGCCCCCTAAGTGCCTCTCTATTTAGGCTGGAGCACCTTCCTTCCTGTACGTATCCCAGAAGTACCCATAGATGCACAAACAAGAGTGCCAGACAGACAGACACAGCCTGGTGCAGGCCAGAGTGACATTCTCACCACCCTGTGGGTTCCTCACTCCATCCCACCCCAAGGGTCTGCCCCTCCAGGCTAACAGGGGCAGAGAGCAGCACAGGCCCATTGTCTGTGGGAGGAGGGGACAGAGCAGGGTGCTCTGGAAGCCCCTCCCCCAAGGGCCAGGATAGGGGGGCCAGCGGGCAGGCCCAATTTGGCTGGAGTCCCAGCCCAGGGGCTGGAAGTACCCAGGAGTGGGACCAGAGGGGCCATGAAAGGGGCAAGGGCAGCTGGTTCCAACAGCAGCTTCTCAGCAGAGAAGGGCTGGTGCTGGGGGTGGGTCTCACTGCAGGACCCTTCCCAGTGCCCTGCCTGGGGAACCCCACCTACCCCTCAAGAACCGAGCAGCCCTCCTAGGCAGGACCATAGCCCCAGGGCCAGGTGGCTCCAGCCCTGTGCACAGCTGGTCCTGCTAAGTCAGGCCTTAGCTCCTGGAAGCTCTAGGGGCCTGCCTGGCACTAGCCACAGCTCCCCTATGCTCCACTGCTTGGACCCTGCCTGTCCCTGGAGTGACCTGGGTAAGGTGTTAATCCCACCCTGGCAGGCAGCCAAGGGCTGAGAATAGGCGTGGAACACCCCTCTCCCTGGCAGATATGGTCATCACCTTGGAACACCCTTGGGGACATCAACACAGCCACACACCAGATGAAGAGACACACCTGACTCCAACAAGGCCATGCTGGGTCAGGCAACCAGGGCAAGTGCGTGGGGGACCTAAGTCCCTCTCACTCAACTGGACAAACACCCTAGAAAACCCAACTGCTTAACTTACATTCTACAAAACCTATGTAAAATTTTAAGTGCACAATTCAGTGGCTTTGGTATATCCACAGGGTTGTGGATCATCACCACTATCTAATTCTAGAGCTGTTTTTCTTTTTTAAGACACGAGGTCTTGCTGTGGTGCCCAGTCTGGTGTGCAGTGGCTTCACGGTGCACTGCAGCCTGGCTCTAGCTGTCCTCCCACCTCGGCCTCTGAGTAGCTGGGACTACAGGCACAGGCCACCATGCTGGCTTTAGCTTAGATCTTTTCCATCAACCCCCAAAGAAGACCTCTTACTCCCCACTCTTCCCTCGCCCCTGCCCCCAGTCTTTATGGATCTGCCTATTCAGGACATTTCTTGCAGATGGAATCACAGGATACGTGGCCTTTTCTGTCTGGTGTGGCTCACTGAGCACTGTTTGCAAGATTCATCTACACTGTAGCGTGTGCCAGAAGTTCATACCTTTTGTGGCTGAATAATATTCCATCATTGTATGGATATACCACATTTTATTCATCTATTCATCAACCAGTGGACATTTAGCTCGTTTCCACTTTTTATTTATTTATTTTTTTAGATAGAGTCTCACTCTGTTGTCTGTGCTAGAGTGCCGTGGCATCAGCCTAGCTCACTGAAACCTCAAACTCCTGGGCTCACGCAGTCCTCCTGCCTCAGCCTCCCAAGTAGCTGGGACTACAGGCATGCACCGCCATGCCCGGCTAATTTTTTAAATGTATATATATATATTTTTAGTTGTCCAGCTAATTTCTATTTTTTTAGTAGAGACGGGGTCTCGCTCTTGCTCAGGCTGGTCTCGAACTCCTTAGCTTAAACGCCTCCGCCTCCCAGAGTGCTGGAATTACAGGTGTGAGCCACCGTGCCCAGCCTTGTTTCTACTTTTTGGTTAATAATGCTGCTATGAACATTTATGTACAAGGTTTTGTGTGAACGTGTTTTCATTAAAATTACAAAAATGTGTACCTCTAATGACGACGTTTGAACAATTGGTTGAGGACCTTGAACTGGTATGCTAGAGTAGCTGCCCCCCAAAGGGGAGTCCAGAGAGGCTGGCCTCCAAACCCAAAGTCCCCCAAAACTAAAGCTGTGCAAGGACTGGCTCAATCCTCCACCCAGCCCACCCACCACTTCCGCCCCAGGCTGGGTGCAGCAGCCCAGGGACGGCTCCAGTCCCCTGTGACCAGAGGGCCTTGGCCAAGTGCACTGGGGGAGTTCTCGGCCCGCGACCTGGGGAGGGCGGGGTGGGAGCACAAGGTGCCCCTTACTGCATCCCGGTCTGCTCGGGTCTGCGCAGCACCAGGACCTCGCTCCCAGGGAAGCCCCCTGCCGCACGACCCCGCCCCGTCTCCCACGACCCCGCCCGCCAGCCGAGAAAACAGGAAGCAGCGCGCGGCGGCGGCCTGCGAGTGCAGGAAGCGGCTGGCGGGCGCGGCGCTTATCTCGGGCCGCAGCCCTGACCCCTGGCCTCACGCCGGGCAGGGGGCGCCAGGGGCGGCCCAAGGACAGGGCCTGCTCACCTGGCGGGGAGCCCTGGCCGCCTCTTCCCTGAGCCACAGCTATCACGACCAGCTATGGGGGAGGAGGCTGGCTACAGGGCCTGCGACAGGACTCCACTGAGCCAGGGGCCCCAGAGACGGTGGGAGGTGGCCCAGGAGCCTGCCTCCGACCCCAGGACATCCCCCCCCTCCCCCGCGGCACAGCGCGCTGTTCTGCCCTTCCCCCAAGGCCTGAGTACCCCATTTCCCCCCAAACAAGGACTCACTTCCCCCAGCAGGTGTGAGCTCCCTGCTGGGTCTTCCCGGATTTTAATGGGGAGGGGGGAGCAGGGAAGAGGGAGCCATGGTTGTTTGTTTCTGTGTTTACAAAGCTGGGTCTTTTCCTGGAGAGGGAGCAGGATGGGGGCTGTCCCTGGGCCTCCCCAAGGGTCTTGAAGGCCACTGACAATGGGCCCCAGCACCTGGCACCACCTCCCCCCAGCCAGTGTGTGCTTCCTGGGGTGGGGGACTTGTTTGTTCCCAAGTCAGCCACAGCTGGAGTGGCCGGGTGTGTGTGTGTGTGTGTGTGTGTGTGCTCCTTGCACACTTCAAGGCTCCAGACCCACAGGGCCAGGCATCCTCCAGGTCTGGGAGCAGGTGTTTCCTCCTGGGATCACTCACAGGCTCCCCTGCCCTCTCCCTCCCCTGCCCTCTCCCCAGCCGAGGACACAGGTCTGCCCTGTCCTCTCTTGGGGTCTAGGCATGGCCAGCAGACACCTGTTTTTCCCACCTCCTGCTCGGCTCAGCCCAGCCCAGCACAGTTGGGGGGCAGTGGAGGGGAAGGTGCTGCCACCCCCGAGGAAGTAGAGGTGCAGTGGT